TTCAGTGCCTTACTGGGGTCCAGTTCAGTGCCTTACTGGGGTCTGGTTTCTCTCTGCCTTTTCTTCCATATATTTCTTCTTTTTTTCATAAGATGGACTTAATATTGACCACTCATTTTTGGTTGTGGTAACTGGTGCTGTCAGGGCGAAGGGCTGTGTCAGTAGATGTGGGTCTCTTGCCATGTGCCTGAGGGCCAGAGGACAGTTGTGCTCACCACTGAATTACCAGAAGAGACAAAGCAAGAGGCTCTCTGTATTTACCCTGTGTTGTGAGTCCCTTGGTGCTTTGGCAGCACTGCACAAAGCATCAGAGGTAAGCATGAGTCTGATCCAAACCCCACTGCAAGCACTGGAGGCTGTTATTAATGAGCTTCCAGTCAGACTGTAAATGAAAATGAAATGGTAAAAGGAAAAGTAATTTAGAAAAACAAACCAACATATGAGAAGAGATACATGTTTTGGATACACCTCTCCTGAAGAAAGGAGAGCAAACATAAGGGCTGTGGCAGAGAAGAAAACTCCAACCCAACCACTGCTGTAACATCTTCTTCAGGTCTTGCTCTACAAAGGGTCTGTGGTGATTCCACCTGAATGCTGGTATCAGTTGTGGATTAATACTTTGCTTTAGACTTTATTGAATAGGCTAAAGATATAATTTCCTTATGACTGTAATTGGGCTTTAATCTGTCATCAGAACAGAGTTTATATTGGCCCATTTTCTAATTTGGTGATAGCAGTATTAACTCAGCCTAAATACTATTTAATAAAATAATTATGATGTTTGGGATCCCACATTGGGTGTTTGAGAAAAAAAGGGCTTTGTAACAGGATATTTAGAAGCCATAGCTCAATTAAAAGGCTTTAAATTATTCTTTTGACAAAAAAAAAAAGTTATATCATCTAAGAGTTTCATTTCATTTGGTTTCTTTCAAGAGTAAGATAATGACTCAAAAAGGAAAATGGAGAGCAGATAAATTAAGTCATTTCTATGATTGCCATAATCTGACTTTTCTTTCCAAAATAAATGAAATTTCAGTCTGTCCTGTACCTTATGACTGTGTCATGAGTTTTAAACTCAGTCTTTTCCAGGAACACTGAGAATACCAAGGAAATGTGGATTTCCTGAGCTGCCCCTTTTGCATACCTTCCCTCTGAGGCTTTTCAAGGCACGTTGATGTAATTAATTATAGGTTTATTGGAACACAGAGCTCTCCTGTAAGGAAATAATGCTTACACTTGGATTTGCCATACTCTGATTAAAAGCACTGCACACATGATTGCTTCCAGCTACCAATGATGCTCCACTGAGGGGCAAATCATGCCCCCAGTCCAAACATCCATCCATCTTTGCAGTCCATGCATCCTCATGAGCTGCAAGATTAGTCAGAGCAGGATTTGACTGAGTCAGAGAGATCTTTTTGGCTGTCTCAGTTTACTGTTGCAGAGGCTGTAGGTTTTCATTTAAAGCTTGTATTCCTTTTATAATCATGAACTCCCACCCTGCTCTCACAGCTGATGCCTCTCTGGAGCCAGTCTCTCACAAGTAGGCATGGATGACTTTTCAAGTATATATTTCTAGCTGGGAACTGTTAAAATGCTGTTCCTTAAAAAAAAAATTGAAAAGAAAGAAGAATGCTGACACCTGGTAGATAATCCAACCATCTGGTGGCAACAGCAAAGCAGAAGTCTAAACAAAAAGCTAAGATTCAGCATGGTGGTGAAGGTGTGCAACTGTAGGAACCACAGTTTTCCTCTTTTCCTCTCTCCTAAATTATTTCTGATGGTTTCAGAAAGTTGCTAATCAATGAGAGAGCAGGGCCTGCTTGGATCTTGCATGGGGTAGGTTCACAGCAGCAGGGGGAAGTTGGCTCTCACGTGGAGAAAAGCTCAAACTTCTATATCAGGTCACTGAGAAAACATGAGGGTGAAGAGAATTTCAATCCTTGATGGATAAAATAGGCATCAGGAGGAATTTTCTAAGTCTTTAGTGTTAACAGAGGTCACATGTATTGAGGTCACATGTTTGACATGAAGCTGTTACCTTCTATAACTGTCCACAGGATTCCTGTCTAAGAGAGCACTGTGCAATGAGAAACTGTGTGGAATAGGAATATGATGATAAAAAGTCAGGAAACACCTTTGGTTTATGCTGAAGGATGTTTTGAGTTACCTCCTAAAGTGATGGAGGCTGGGGACAGGCTGCCCAGGAGGCACCTCAGGTACCATGGGCAGTTTGGTGCTTCCCAATGCAGGAAAAACAGATTCACAGGAATCTGTTGAAGTAGCTGAAGATGCCTAAATAGAAGAAATGAATACAAGTACCTTTACTTAATCCAGATTATTTTGAAACAAAATATAGCCTTCTTTCCCACCTTCAAGATTAATTAATTAAGGCACTGGGAAGTATATTTTCTCTTATCTATTTAGAAAATATTTAGTATTAAATATTTAATTAGCTATTTAATTAAATAGAAATCAAGTATATTTAGAAAATAAAGATGTGCATTTCTTAGGGCTGAAGAGAGCAAATAGGATAACAAATCTTTATCTAGTTACTGTCCCAAAATATATGCTGCCTATCCATCCACTACTTTTTTCTGCCAATTTAGGGTGATATTTTAGCTGAATGTATTTAGTGTTTAACCTCACACATATAAAGGAAAAAAAAATAACCTTTTTTTTTCCCAAGAGCCCTTCCTGAATGCCATGAAAAGGCATCAACGTGCCTATGAAACAAAAGGTTCTGCAACAGGAATGCAAGAAAAAGCCTTTCTGCTTGCAGAGTCTCAAATGAATTGCACATGTCAGGCAAATCAATAAATCTTTTGGATATCAAGAAAAATAAGGATCCCAGCCACTTCCCCTGAGACTCTTTATGGAAAAGGTGGCATGATAATTATGGAGGTGGATTATGATCTATAGGCAAGTGCACTGACTGTTAACAGCTCAGAGTGATGTTTCCTTTTCAGAAGGATTGAACATGAGCCACGAAGATGCATTTTGCAGTCAATGTGCTTGTACCAAAGCTAAATCAGGCTCTTATCCTTGTCCTCCATGTATTTTCCAGCTCAGACTGTGGTTCTGCAGCCTCTCCTGAGTCAGTCACTGTGGGTAGAGCTGCCCTGATTTTTACAATGCAAAGCACATTTGCCTAAATATGCAGTTTATGAACCAGTGTCACTGAAACACTCCAATCAGGTCTGGCAAAAAAATGATGCTCAGGGAACGAGGGCAAGGGAGGGAGTGAAAAAAAAGCATTGAAATGTTTTATTCTGACAGCTTGGAAATGAACTTTTTGACTTTTCAAGGCAGGTTTTTTTTTGTTAGAAGAGGAAATGTTGAGAAAGATTCTTTCAGCTAACTGAAAGCTAAACAAATGTAGGAGATTGATCTAGTTTTTGCTTCATTAAGACATTTTTTAATGTTGGTACTTTGTAAACCAGGTGGGTTTCTTTTCAGTTCAGGCATAAAAATGAAAAACTGATGAGGTAGTCAATATTAAGTTTGAAAATCTGCAGGGAAAGTGTCTGTTACCTGGTAAAAAATGTTTTTCTTGTCCCCTTGAAAAATGTTCCTGTGCTCAAGACTGATAAGAATATATCGTATTTATTTATTTATTGTATTTATTTTATCTTTGGGAGAGCTGAGGATGTCAGTGGGAGCAGGGATGAATGCTGTAATGTTAGGTGTAATAGCTCATCTTCTGAACTCTGTTGGTTGTTGCTGTCATGACAAAGCTCAGACCCAACCAAAATCAAGCAATAGCTCTTTGAGAGCTGTCAGAGAAGAAGAATTTCCATTTTAGAGTGCTAAATGAGGGGCTCTGCATGCAGATCAGCCCTACCAGGTCAGCTCCACAGCTAAGGCTCTCGGAGAGGGTGGAAGGAGCTGGGAAACTGAAATGGAGCTAAACAGAGACAGGGCTGAATTCAGCTCTGCCTCCCCTGAAGCAAACCTCATTATATCAAGGAAAGACACTATTCACCACCAAATGAAGGGAAACACAGAAAAGAGAGAGAAACCCACCCAAAACTGCATAGCCTTGGCAGTGCAGCTTCCTCATCCCTGCCACACAGTGGGGGTGTCCAGGGGTACCAGGACTGCAGGGGGGTCTCTGCCACCATCCCCATCCAGCTCCAAACCTGCCCCCAGCCCCTGAACTCCCGTGGGGAGCAGCACTGGGGCATGGCTGATGCCTGAGCCCTGTTGCTTTTTGCTCACTGGGCTGAAAAAGAAAAAGCTGAGAGCCAGCTCGGGGCACTTTGCTGGGATGTGCCATTAGTCAGAGGGGGAAGGAGAGGAGGGGTTTGCCCTTCCCTTTGAAGAACAGCCTGTGTGTTGTACATGGCTTGGGAACTCCTCCAGGATCAGACCTCCTCTTGAAGTCTTGAAGAGATTTAACTAATCTATTTTGACATGAAAACCTGGATCTTTATAGACAGTGACAAGTGATGGCTGGAGAAGCCCGAGGCAGGGTAAATAGTGCCCATGGGGAGGCTCTGCTGGCAGGAAGCTGACTAGAGATGGTTTCATATCAAAACCCATTTCATTCCTTCTGGGAGGAGGTAGGAGGAAAAAAATAAACCCAGTGTCTAGCTGTGGCTGGCATCACCTAATCCAAGGGTGAAAGGCATTGCTGCAGTGACAGTGGTGCATCCACTCATGTCAAACAGGATAGAATCGAGCAGAGAGGCCATAAAAACAATTGCTGAGATTTATCAGCTGATATTTGTGTGAAATGAAACAGTACAAATGAAATTTTGTCAGTGCCTTTCACTTCCATAAACGCCAAATGGCTACAAGAGGAACAGTAGCAAAAAAAAAACCCAAGAGAACTCTGCAAAAATCACTGACTTAAATTTTCCCCTGTTATCACTGGACTTGGGATTTTAGTGATAAATTAATTTGATAAAGTTTGGTTTCTGTTATTTTTTTTCTATTTATTTGTGAAAGCCTGTAGTTAATAGGAAGCTCACAATCTTTTTCTCTGTTTGTGTCAGGTGCTGAAACTAATCTGAACTTGAGGAGCAGGGAAGATCCAAATGCATCAGATGTTGGATCAGAAAACCAGGATAAAAATGCAAATAACCATGGAACTCAGTCATCTAACCCACTGCCCAGTTCTGTGACTGCTGAGAATGGAAATTCACTATCAAATGGTAAGTGGTTTTTAATCCCAAAGCTCTTCTAGCATTAAATTGCTGAAGTGTTTCCATGAATGAGCTTTTTAAGGTATAGGCAAGCTGGAATCTTCTGAGTTGTGAAATATCTGTGAATATTTGTGAATATCTGAGAATGTGAAGAAAATAAACCAGCCTCTGTTGAGGAATTTGTAATTAGCTGAGCTGAAAGCATTGGCAGCATCCTGAGGCATGGAGGACCAAGAGCTGAGATTTCTGAGCCTATAATCAATACAAATGGGACAGAAAATGGAAAATCAGGATCTTGTTTTGCTGCAGGTGCCTTACTAGTGAATGACAATTCAATCACTGCAACAAGATAATCAAAATGCTGCAAGAGCAAGGACAGAATGAAACTTTTCAAGGCCTTGAAAGCATCAGTCCTAAGGGTATTACATAAAATCACATGATACAGATACAAAAATATGAATATACAAGGCAAGGAGAAAGTGTTTGGGTGGGATATGGAGAAGGAGATGTCTAAATACTTGCATGGCATGAGATGCAGTTATCTCCATGCTGAAAACTTCTGGCTAAATGCATGTGTGTAGGCAGAAGAATTGTGTAGCCCTTTACTGCTAAGAGCAGAGCTGCACATAATGGAGTTGGTGGTTTGAGAGCTCTCCTGGAAAAATCAAAGTGAAAAAATATTAGCTCAAGCAAAATATTGCATTTTGGTTTTCAAATATATAATATATTTAAAAAAAAAAATGTCTAGAGCTGCTTAATAGCTGATGTTTTGAAATGAAAAATCAAGTTTTTATTATAAAAAAAAAATTCAAAATCAAATAATTCCTTTGTTTTCAAGAAAAGGTATTCTCTGTATTCTTCAGTGTTTGGCCAAAATAATTCTTCCTGCTCTCTCTGATAATCAAAGGAAAAAACTCAGTTTAAAATTTGTGATGATTACAGTTAAGGTAGTAAATGATCTCAGTTAGTGAAATAACTTCATGGAAGGTTCCCCATTTTGATGCAGCTTTTCTAGGGAATGGTTTTGACATTCACTGTAGGCCCTGAGTAGAAAAAAGCTCCTTTTAGGTCTGGCAGTATCCCACTGGGTGAGGAATTAGCATTATTTGTGATATTTCAAGGTCCAGATCTATGTTTTGCCTATCAGATGGTAGAACTGATACAAGCTTTGCTTCTACCCTGCTGCAGAGCAAAATCAGATGATAAACTGTGTGATACAGGATGCTGGTTTGCCAGCCACCCTTGATAATCACTGATTGGAAGAGTTGACAGTGTGGGAAAAAAATTGGTGTATTTTATGTGAATTTTAGTAGAAAAGATCTTTTGAATTGAAAAATGTCAAGGCCTTTTGAATCTCAGCTAATGCATCAATGTCAGATTATAAATATTATTCTGCTTTAGGTTTACCAGAGGAAAATGAATATTCAAGACTGTCAGCCAGCACTACAGCAGCCTCATCAGTTCAAAGACACAGGGAGAGCCACACAAGTCAGGTAAATATTTCAGTGATGGTCTGCTAGGACCAGTAAAAAATCCTAGTATGTTGAAAACTGTCTTGATTCAAACATGTGTTGTCATTGAAAAGTGCAGACTTCTTCACAGGCTTGTGTTGAGCTGAGGCCAATACTGAATTTACTCTTAATGGGCTTTGCTGGGAGGATAATCATAGAATCATAGAATCCTGGAAGGTTCTCCTGGCAGAGTTCAGTTTATGAAACTTGCTGTTGCTGGTTGTGAGGATGCTTCAGGCAGGAAATATGTCTCCTCACTTGGAGAGGACCAAGATATTGTCTCTCTCAAGATATTAATTCATACCAGAAAGTGATAATATAAATGCATAATTCTATTGTACTTTTGTATACAAAAGCAGTGAGGACTTTAAAAGGCATCTGAACTATTTTTATACAAATATCAGTAAGTAAAAATTAAAATCAAAATCTCTATCAATAAAACCATCAATGGGTACTGAGGTAGCATGAAGCTCTTTGGTTCTTTTACCATTTCTGTTTAGTTAATGTCCCTTTAAAATAACAAGACAGAAAGAAGTTGAATGTGTGTTAAGTGAACAAAAAAGAATAAAATTTGTCATATTTTGTTCTTTCTTTTCTCCAGCATTTTCTATAGAATGTGAAACATTTTAATTTCTCAGTAGCCAATTCAGTCGTGAAGCATTCAAGTAATTTTATTTCACTAAAAAGCCATTAGTGTATTCTCCTGTTGTCTTTATGTCTTCAGTCCACTGAAGTCCCAAGTCATTTCACTTGAGATGACTGTAAGAATTTTACAGTAAAGCCAAATATCATCCAAAGAGATGATATCCTCAACAGAAACCTCATTAACCAATGTTACAGTTTCCAAACTCTTCTACCAGAAGGTAAGGGAGGTGCTTTATCCCTTTATCACACAAAGAGCTGTTGTCTGTAGTGGACAGATGATATTTGATTACAACAAAACACTGGCCCTAACCAAGTGGATTAATTTTCATTCCATTAACTCCAACAGGAGTGGGATTCAACCTCCAGCATCACAGTCTTAGTGTAACTTCGAAAAACAACAGGTTTTGAGTAAAACTAGTACAGAAGCCTTCACTTTTTGTTTTGCTGCCCCTGTGTTCAAAGCCCAGGCATAACTACAGCACTTGGAGTTGAAAAATCTTGCTAAAATGGCATTTGGCACTAAATTCATCTCTTCAGATATGTAAGTGTGGCCAAGAAGAGCTGCCCTGACACTCACAGGCACATCCCTGCCTTGCAGACAGGAACAAACCTTTCCCATCACCATACTTCTGACTCCCAAAATTGACTCTGACCACATTGTGGAACAATACAGGTGTGCTGTCTGCAGGTCAGTATACTGGATAAGGGCATGGGATTGTGGAGATGACTGGAGGCAATGTTCTCTGTTGTCTCTGTCACATTTTCAATGATCAACCAAATACTTATTAGGCATGAGATTGCCAAAGTGCCCTCTCTAAAAAAAATCCAAGTCTGGATTTAAAAATCCAAGTCTCCAGTGATAAACTTTACCCAGTGAGACACTTTTATCCTGGAGCACCTTACACCTCTGTTGCCAAAATGCTTCCTTGAGATCCAGGAAGATCATATTTGAATTGCTGCATCAGTGCAGTGCATGGAGAGCTGAATGAACTAAGGGCATGGGATTGTGGAGATGACTGGAGGCAATGTTTTGTCCCTGTATTAGGCATGAGATAGCCAAAGTGCCCTCTCTAGTGAAGAAAAAATCCAAGTCTGGATTTAAAAATCCAAGTCTCCAGTGATAAACTTCAACCAGTGAGACACTTTTATCCTGGAGCACCTTACACCTCTGTTGCCAAAATGCTTCCTTGAGATCCAGGAAGATCATATTTGAATTGCTGCATCAGTGCAGTGCATGGAGAGCTGAATGAACTAAGGGGAGCCATTATTTTATTATCTTTACAAATGGAAACATGTGAAATTAGTCTGCAAAATTTAAATATTTTCTTTTAAAAACAAGTCTTTAACCGTTTACAAACTTGGATTTGTATTTTTATTTTCAAAACTACTTGCCAAAAGCTGAGCACAGTTTCAGTTCAGGACGTGGAAATGTCACTTTTCAGTAAACAGAGGTTTTACCAAAGTGTTTCATGAGAGACTTTAAAACAGATCCCATGCCATGCACTCAGAATTCCATGCAGGGACAATCCTTAAACACAAGCTGAAGAAGAACTGTAACAAGTCTGGAGAAGAAACCTGCAGTTGTCTGATTTTTGATATAATTACCTTAATGAACAAATATCTGCCAAAATGCTGTCGGCCAAAAGAAAAAGAAAAACTTCCTCCCACAAAAAAAAAAAAATAATATAAAAAAAAAATCTCTGCTCCTAGAACTTGCACTGTGAAAAACATTCCTCACCTTTTCCAAAGCATGGCATATGTTGGAAAATGATTTGGTTTAATTACAGCTGACATTTCTTAGCCTGCTGATGAAGATTCTACCAGCACACAACCCCATTGTCTCTCCCAGGCTTCTCTGCAGCACCCTTGCCACTTGAAAGGACTTTTGCACAGCCCTAGGAAGCAGGACAGGTTGTTTCACAGAGCTGTGGAGCTACTGATTGACTAATTGCTCCAGAGAGAGGAACATGGACTGGGTCCTTGGGCTCCTTGGCAGACACTTTGTCATTGCAGCTGAAGGAAACTGCTTCATTAGCTTTTGGGGATTTCTAATATTTATGAAGGATTTTAATATCTCTCTGCTAGTTCCTTACTGAAGTGACAGGAGTTAATATCACTTTTGTCACAGGATCATCTACATCCAGCTAAAGATGAGGCATTGTGGCTCATGGTACCATCACGTTGTCACATCAGGTGCTGATTCCCTGCCTGGTCCTTCCACACACTGCAGACCCACACACTTCAGAGAGCAAAGTCTGCAGCTCCATCTCTGCCAACATGCATCCTAAGGATCAGGCTTTTAATAAACCCTTTGAGAAGCAGTTGACAAGTATAAAATATCATCCAGGTGTGGACTCAGCAACTTAACTGGTCAGCTCTAAAGTCTACTGGAAAAAGAAAGTTCTCAGTTGGCCAGAAATGCTGATTTTCTAGGAGAGTGGTTAAAGGTCAGTTTTTAGCAGAATGAAAAAGGATAAAAATTGAAAAGTAACCCTAACTAAATATTTCTAATTTGAAAGTCATGGGGTAAAATTCTTCTTTCTTCTCCTAGAAGAAGGGGAAGAGTATTAAAAATGAAGTTTTTGTTCTGTTTCATCAGAAATTAAAGAACTTGCATCAAAAGAAATTAAAGTCTTGCATGTTAAAAGAACAACAAATTGTAGGTTTTTTAAGCTAATACCTTTTCCTTCCTATTGTTCTGTGGCTTTACAGCTGTAGATTTCCAAGACATTACATAAAAGTCACAAGTAAGTAGCACATAAAAACATTTAAAGCCCTAACATCTGATATAACACTAGAGCATCATCTTCATCCTCAATGAAAATGAGAACTAAGCAACGACTTTGAGGTTCAAATCAGTTATCAAGAAGTTTTCTGCACTTTGTTGGGATAGTAGAACTTCAAGAAACCTTTAACAGAGTCACATATATTCTTTTAACCAGCTCAGCACCCCAGCTTCCATGTATTTGTGCTTTCTTTGTAATCCAAAACACTCTAACGTTCTTTTGTCACTTCCTTTTCCAAACTTAATTTAAAATTACTGATTTAAAGTCATTTAAATGCTTATGGTTTCAAATTGCTTCAGTGATTTGTTTAAAAAAAAAAAGTTTGGGACTTCCAAATGTGCCTGGATCTGTAATCTTGAATTCTGATGCCACGATTTCCTCCCAGGGCAAAGAAACAACCAAAATGGAAGAGATGTTTCCATCATGCCATAAGATTGCTTAGATAGAAAATTTTGTTAGGACTAAGAGTCATTTCTGTTCAGTCCCACTCCAGGAATTGATCCCAAAGCACACTGGAGGCTCCACAAATGCTGAGGTTGCTTAGCAGGGTCTAAAACCCAAAACCTCCTCTAAAATAAGTTAAAAAAAAATAAAAATATCTATAAAATATTACCTCTGTGCTGTTTCTTTCACATGAAACATTTCTCAGCTCCTCAGCCAGTCCAATGGGCTCTCCTCCAGGCTGTATTTATTGCTGTCTCTGCTCTCAGTAGCTCCTAGGAGTGTGTATGTTTAAGAGATAGAGCATAAAGATTATTGAAATAGATGTTCTTTGAATGTCAGCAAGAGTAGCAAGATGAAATAGAGTCCAGAAAAATTAGACTGTACCTTTGCCACCTCACACAATACCCCTGTCATCTTCTTTTTCACAGATCCAGGACTGTTTGAGGGTTTTTTTTTATCTATAAAAATATTTTAAAGTTCTTTTGAACATTCCCCACGAAGTGGGATGTGGTGTGAGCAGGAAGAGAAGCAGGCCAGCTAAAAGACTCCTTGGTTCTTATGTGGGCAGCAAAAGCAACGTGGTCTCTCTGTAACAGGATGAGATGGACAACCTGGAGATGATGAGCAGATGGGAAGAGAGGGGACAATTAGACTAGAGTGATAATTAGCTGGAGTGTGGGGTGGGAGTGGGGAGTACAGCAAGCACCAGAGAGAGGATGATTCAGAGAATTCAGGTTGGAGGAAGAATAAAATAACTGAGAGAGAAGGTAAATAATGACATGGAATAGGGGATTCAGAAAGGGGAAAGAAGGAAGAGCCAGAGAGAGGAAAAAAGAAAAAAAGCAAACCAGAGATGTGAGAAAAAAAGACTAAAAAGACTGTAAGAAAATCAGGAGAGAACCAAGGACAGAGTGGTGGGATAAAAGAGAGAGGGACTAAGAAATAAAAAAGCAGAAAGTCTATGTGATCTTCCAGGTATGAAATTCATCTTCTTACACCTATCAACGTGATCTTTTATGCTCCATAAAATAAAAATAACTGTCCTAATCCACCTGCACCTCTAGGTTGCCATCCCAGCCTCCTGCAGATCCAGCCACGTGAGAAGAG